CAAGTATTAGTTTGCTGTGTGAAAATGTGCATGCAAAAGTCATCAGACCTTTCAGCCTCTGACTTTGGTTCCTCACATAATAACATGTAAGAAAAGTAATAAAATAACTTGAAAACCGTGTGTTCAGATTATGTGACAAAAACATCTGGTTTACAAAGAGAACATTTATTTGGCAATGATACAATTTTATCACTGCAGCCTCGCCCATGCACCCCCCCAATGTCTTAGCACGCCAACTCCTCACACAAATCCAGGGTCCTTTTATGATCATTGCAGGGGGCTCAGCTTTCAGGAGCAGGCCAAAGTGCATGTGTGCAGACCAGAGCTTTAATTCCTATTGTGTTGGTGTTGTCTTGATGTGAGTGTGTCTGTGCTTTGGCAAAAGAGACAGGGGGAGACAGAGATGAAGAAAAGGGACAGAAACAAGGACCCATCTGTCAGCATAGTGCATGAATCCCTCCCAATCCGCTCTTAGTCCCCGGGGACACGAGTGCGACACAACTCACTTGTGGCAGTTTTTTTCTTTGTCAAGGATAATGGTTATTCCTATAAGGAGCAACTATATCAGTAAATTGCGTTTAAAAACTTGTTTCATCGTGCAACCCTTCACAGAAAATGACAAACAATAAAATCATGTGGATTCTTATCTACTTTTTATTCTGGCCAGAAATGTATAAATCCTTAGGTGTGGCAAAAAAAAAAAAAAAATCAGTTCATCAAACAAACTCATACAAGCCTGTTTGACTCGTCATATTCATCTCTTCTGGTTATCTGTGTTACCCACTAAATAGGAGCAGGCTGCTTTCCCTTTTTCATCACTTAATTATTTGGGAAACCGGTGGGGAATGTGGGGAGGCACTGATTCCACATGCAGGCTGCAGGTGCGTGGAGGCAGTTTAAACTGGGGACCCCAGAGCTCAGATTATTAGTTGGAACTACACTCTCTAATACGCTCCTCTCTCTGTCAATCCACGTGCCTCCATGACCAGTGCTCTGTCCAGAGACCGTTGGGTGGATAAATCCTGTATCAGCACCAGCTTTAATCAGAGGCGGGTGACGCCAGCTCATCTAGGCAGAAATGATGCTAAGATGCGCGCTCCCTGCATTCTGCCATCTGCTAGAGCTTGTTTAATCAATGTTTTGATGTCATTAAGTCACCTAACCATATTTTAGGTATCCGTGAAAACTTTTTGGACGCTCAAAAACAAGTTTTTCCTCCTCTGAAGTTCAGTCCTGAGCGCAGCTGTGCGCAGTCGCGCGCACAATGGGATCAATGGGGGCCTGGGGTTGTGGGGTGGGGTGGGGGAGCACGTGCAGCTCGCGAGACTCCGGTTGTCAGTGGCCAGATATGACAATGGCCTCCTACTGCGCGGCGGGTCGCCACGCACGAGACTGGCGGGCTTTTATTATCTCCGGCATTTGTGGTCCGAACTGTGCAAAGGCTTTGTTTGTGCTTTTGTTTTGCTCATTGTTTATAAGTGTTTGTTTGGATTTTGTCTCTTTTTAAGCTTGATAAAAAAAGGAATGATGTAAAACTAATTAAGATACAACTATCAAACTCAGTATAAACATAAAACTATGTAAAACCTGGTAATTTAAACATGACTACTTAAATAAAAGTACTGATAGAAGTGAGCTGTATCCACATCCCAGCCTTCGTGTGAGGGCCAAATATGAATTTTGTTTACACTCCATGGACACTGACAATCTGGTGTTTGCATTGCATTTTCTAAATACAACCAATGTCAGAAAGTCAATTTAGGTTCCCCAATGCAGGTTTTGGCTGGGTAATGGGGGTTCCAAGAAAACATGTCTGAATTGCACAACAAAACTGACAATATGGGTCAGGGTTGGCAATTTAAATGGTGGTATTATGTAACCAGTGGACCATCCCATTGGGGCCCATTTTTCAGTCCATTTCCTCTCCATATAGATGCCATATGTTGGCAGGGATCTGTTATAATTCCTTTGGTCAATTTTTACACCAAGTCCAGAACCTTTAGGATAATAATTTGTGCTTATGTACTTATATCTGACATTTAAATTAAGTTTTAATTGAAATTAATATTTCGATAAATATTGAGGAAAAGAGTTGTCACCTCTTAGAAAACTGTGTTCCCATCTATTCTGGTTCTGGTTTCATTTTGGGAATACTTATATACTTATATAAAATCACATATATGATATTTGAATAAACAGAACAGAAATCAAGAATATGTTGGATACATACAAACATCACTTCAAATTAATTCAGAGGCCCTTTCACAAAGCAGGTTTAACAAACTCAGACTCAAATCCTTAACTCTGAATTGATCTAGACTAAGGATGCAAAATGAGTTTTCGGTTTTACAAAGGCTGCCATGAGTTTGTTTAATCGACTCTCAGTAGGTTCACACAGAGTTGAACAAGTGCGTAACATGTATGAAAAGCCATTATCAGTGGAACACTGATTCGACAAGTCCCCATGAATACAGGCAACAGGAAGTACCTATTTCACACCACTGGACCTAGAGATTTTAATGCAGAAATAAAAAAAGAAATAGGAGAATGTGTTTCAAAGNGACAGACATCAGCGTTATAGCTGCAAAGGAGAGAGAGATAGCGTTGGAGAAGATTGCTGCTCAAGTTAATACTAGGTTTATATGAAGTCCGTTATAACAGGCCATATTAACATTTATTAAAAGCCCTCTCCTCTCTGTTGTTCTATTTGTATAGCACTAAAATATGAAAGTTAAAATTCAAAATTGTACTAGAAAAAACTAGAAACCTTTACACATTTTAAGTGGCTATTTCGACATCTATCATATCGACTGGAAATGTATTTATGAAATCTGAAATACATTTCTTTCTGATAAAAATAATGCAAATTATGACCAGTAATAGAAATATAGAGATCTGCAAGTGTGAGGACAGATGCAGTTGTGTATGTATATGATGGACTTTTGGGTAAAATGGTAACGCTCATACAGAAAATCTTCTAAATATGACAGGACATCCATCTGTGGTCTGAGAACCCTCTTCCTATAAATATTTCAAGTTAATAATGTCCATGTTCTCAAGAGAAGGCAGAAAAAATGAAAAAGACGAAGGCAAAGATGATTTGTTAACTAGTAGCAAAATGTAATTTTGCAGTATTGATTTTAGTTTGATATAGTTAAGATATATGTAATAAATAGTATTTTAATATTAGTCCAAAATATTGTGCAGTGGTCTACTGGACAGCCTTGTGGAAAAAAACAAACAAAAAACAGTTGTATAAGTCTGCTTAACCAGAGGAAAGCATCATACTAACAGTGATCTGAATGGCCTGGGTTGTTCCGGATGTCCATGGCCCATTCTAGAAGAGAAGGCTCAGGTAGATCTCCTCTAAGTGGGGGAGTATGCGACGAATGATGCAGATGTTTCTTCTTTTATGCAGTGAAGCTGGCACATCAAAGTGTATCAGACTGATCTCTGTCGTGCAGTGGTTTAAGTATTTCTGCAGAGTTGGAGGGAGTTTGTTCCTCCTCCTGTTTCTCAGACAGTGAAAAAGTGGCTGGGCTTTTTAATTATGCAGATGGTGTTCAGATCCAACTCAACTTAGAGTTTGTGACCCGCTCCTTTACCTTTAGATGCTAAAGCCTGAGTAGAGCATGGTCCTAAAATTGATAAAGTCAATCATATAAGCAAAAAAAAAAAAAAACTTTTTCAAGTTGAACTTGAAGCAATTGTCACTGTACCATCTGTCTGTCTGTCCATCCCTAACTTTCTGAACAGCTTTTTGTTTAACTACTGCTGTCTTTTTTTTCCTTCTTCAGAAAATTGATTTTTTTTTAGAATCTGTATATTCCAGGCAAAGATTAGTATCAGTTTATTATAGTATCCCCAAAATTCGATGGGATCTGCAGCCTTTATGAAGTACCTGCATCTCTATTATTGAGTTAATTGATTCAATAATCTGATTGTCCTCCAGGGCAGAATGTGACGCCAACAATGGAAGAAAACAATTGAAATACACACACACCTGCTCATCACGCACCAAGCTGTCATAATCACTTAAATGTGCAGAGAAGAAGGAGCGTCTCACAACAGTGAGTTTAACAAAGTGGAAAATTCCTAATCCAACCGACTAATGACAAGACGAACAGTCAATTAGGATGACGCAGTTTAATCACAGTATAACAAAACCGAAAAGCTGCAGCAGTTGTTCATATTCTGAATAAAAAATCTTTTGAGAATCCAACACAATTCAACATAGAGACCTATCCCTAATGAATTGGTAAATAATAAGGAAATGATGAAGTTAAGCAATTAGCTCGAATTAAAGTCACCTATGTTAAAAAATAAAAAGTTTAGAGTGCATGTAATTAGCAAGATCTGCAGTTGGACAGGTTTATTTTACACATGTGTTTAAAACTGCAGAAATGTGGAGATATGCCACAGTTATTTTGTTCTCGACAGGAATTAGTTTAGCTCAGTTTATTTAGCACAGAACTGTTTAAGAAAAAACAAGTACTTTATTTAATTCTCTAATAAATAATTTAAAAAAATTATAAAGAAATGTATTTTAGAACGAAGAAAAGCAAGCAAGAAAGACTTTAAGAAGATATCTGTAGATGCACAGGAAAACATTTTGAGTGAGGAAACACACTGCCATTCTGCTGACATATTATGTGTTGTACTTGTGTCAGGTGGTGGATTCTAAACTTCTATCAATTAAAGCTTGTATTAGACATGCATCAATCAAAATCTGCTATTTCTAACCTGAAAGACGCTCAAAGATAAGCTTTGCAAAATACGCCATCGGATTAATTTGTTTTTCTAGAAACTGTCACCCCCTCACTGTTTTGGGACCCCTTGATTTATACATAAAGGGCTACAAGTGCGTCCAGGAGCGCGCCCCTCCTTGTTCTCCAAACACCCAGTCACGAGAGCGCCACGCGCTTCTGGGATGAGATTGTTGGTGGGTGGGACAGAAGAGGGTGGGGCGAACTCGGCTAAAGCCAAAACACATCAGCCCCAACGTGTCATTTTGAGTTGAAAGTTACAAGCATGTTCATGGCTGTTTGACTTTGGGACACTGGCGGATGAGCGTGGAGAAAAAAAATCCACAACTACTCTGGATTTATTACCCGAATTTCTGAAAGATTCTTGCTTATTTCTTTATTGCTACATCCAAACAGGTGAGTGACGTTTGTGTAAGGTTATAAAGCATAAGGTTTAAATAAGAGATATTGATTTTTCTTTCTATTTGCCAAATTTGATCCGCGAGATAAATATTTATAAATGTATTGTATTTAAAAATCAACTTAAAAGCCAAAAGAATAAAATGGAAAATTCAATTTACATTTTATAACCTTAATTCATATCAAATACCCCGCATTACAAGACAAAATATCAATTTAGTTTGCAGAAAGGTATAGTTAAAAATGTTGTCGTTTAACAAAAGCAACATTTCTTTCCGACAGAGTCGGGACAAAGTCACAAACGGGAGGGTAATCTGCCCCAGTTTCGGGCATTAATGCGCAGTAATTAGGGCAGTTTGCTGCAAAAACAATATTTTCTGTCCTTAATCTTTATGCCCGAATTAATAACAAGGCCTCAATCTAAATATAAATATTTAATGAGCATGAACAGTTTAGTGTGAAAGTTTTTTTCTTTTAATGATAACGCGTGTAAACCTAAAATCGAAGAGAATATATGTTGTTTGCCTTATTATAAAGCCTGAGTATCTGCATTTTTTGTTGAGTTGTATGCTCCCAATTTAATCTTTGAGCTCTAAGTAAATCCCGTTGTGTCCCAGTTTGATTGCGTCTCTGGAGAGAGCAAAGCAGTGGGAATAACAAATAAAAAACAAAACAAAAAAGGCAATATACCGGTAGGCCTATATATATTTTCAAATATACTGAATGACATGTAGCATTTTAACAGTAGAATGATTTTTTTAAATGCATATGACAAAAGCAAAGCCCATTATTGAACACTGTGAGCTGTCCACACAGCGGTGCTGAAAATACACGCAGCCCCAGAATGTGTTTTTTTGAAAGCGTTGGCCAGAAGAGGGCCACTGATAGTGACTGGGGTCTAAGGGGGGCTACCAAAACTTTTTGTTATTTTTTATATAGATGTCACACTACAAAAATAACACTAAGATAAATATTGCAACTGAAACATTTAAACATATTAACATCTAAAGCCTTTTCATTCTTCACTGTATACTGCAGAGCACCTATATGCGACATATTATACACATTAACCTTATGCAAATTTGTTAAGAGTTTTTACATTTACATATAACAAACAGCTGCACAGGTAGTAACCTATTCTCTCTACTTTTTCAGATAAGGATGATGAATAAACACTTTGGGAAAAGTGGGAATGTGAGTGAGCTGGTCAGCTCCCTCAGCTGGCTTGAGGAGGATGGCAGCTCCCAGGATGGAGATGAAAGTCCAGAGATGAAGAGTCATCACCACGGCCTGGCTCTGGGAGGTCAGATTCACTCCTGCGGAGAACTGGGCAGTGAGGATATGGAGGAAGAAGAGGAGGAGGATGAGGAAGAGGAGATGGGGCCTAATGGAGAAAATTGCCCCAAAAGGAGAGGTCCCAAGAAGAAGAAGATGACCAAAGCTAGGCAGGAGAGGTTTCGTGCCCGAAGGATCAAAGCCAATGCAAGGGAGCGCTCTCGAATGCATGGGCTCAACAACGCTTTGGATAACCTGCGCAGAGTGATGCCCTGCTACTCCAAAACTCAGAAACTATCAAAGATTGAGACTCTGCGGCTAGCACGCAACTACATCTGGGCTCTTTCTGAGGTGCTCGAGAATGGTCAGTCCACAGAGAGCCATGGGTTTGTGGAGATGTTGTGCAAAGGTCTGTCTCAGCCCACAAGTAACCTCGTAGCTGGCTGCCTGCAGCTTGGGCCCACCCCTCTTAATATGAGCAAGCTTGAGGACAAATGTGGAAGTCAAGTAGTAGGTGACCGAGTGGCTGGACATCCACTCAGCTACCCATCCCCAGGACTTCCCAGCCCACCATATGGCTCCCTTGAAGCATCCCACCTTCTTCAAATGAAGGGGTTCAAAGTGCCTGTATATGACAACCCCTCCCCTAACGAGTGCAGCAGTAGCACCCCTCCATACGACGGGCCTCTCACTCCCCCCCTCAGCATCAGTAGTAACTTTGCCTTGAAGCAGGAGCCATCTCCACAGGAATCAGAAAGGAACTACACATCCCACCCTGGTCACCATGCCCACTACCTCTCAGCTCACCATTTCCCCACTACCACAGCTGGCAGTCTATCAGGGGGAGTCCAAGCTCACCCAATCTTTCAGGCTTCACGTTATGAGCTGCCCCTGGATTTGGCCTTTGAGTCTTTCACTCCCTTTCACTTGGTCACCTCTCAGATGGGAACGATCTAGGATCAAATAAAACCAGGAAGTGACTGGTCAGAAACTGTCCACAGAAGTGGAGCTGCCAATCTAAGCTTAGAGGGAAAGACTTTTCATTTCAACTCAATCTACCTGATGCAAACATGCACCCATATTTTTTCCTTTTATTTATTCTTTTGTCTGATTGATGCGTAAATTCTTATTTCCGAATGTTAACTCTGTAGTTAGGAAAGAGTAAAACTGGCCAAAACTTTACTCAGGCAATAGTAAATTACAATTAGAGCTTAAGTTTGAACTCAAGACCTCTGAGAACAAATTGATCCAATATTTATCCAGTTAAATTCATGCACTAAAAACTAAAGTCTTGAGTTTTAAGAAAACAACTATTTATATGTATTTATTATTTATTTTGATAGCATCTTGTCCTTTTTTTATATTTCTCTCTGCACAGTTTATGTGTCACTGTCTTCATGGTTTGTTGCCATCCACTGGTAGCTGTACTGTGCTTAAGATATTTAATTTAAGTTCTTTCAGGTACTTAACCATTTTTATGTTGCCATTTCTGTCATATGTGATGTTAATATTTTGCTGTTTCGCACTTACTGAAATAAATATTCTTATATTATATGCTAATTCCATAGTAACACTGTGTGATATGAATTTTTGATGCCTATAATTGTCCAAAAATGCTTTTTTCCAGAAACATCAGTTTCTGTTACAGTGAGTTTTCAACAGTAGCAGAATTTTATCATTTTCACACTAAAAATGTCAAACAAATAGGTTTTAGAAATGTGTTTACCTTTAGACCCTATTTAGCAGGTTCTTAAGAAAACATACCCTTGCAAATTATTTGTACACCACATTGAGTCTCTGATGTTACAGTAAAAACCCTAAACCACTTTTAAAAATGTTATTTGATAGACTAAGTAGATGTGAAGGAGTTCATGACTGTTACAACAAAAACATGTTAAACTATGTTTTCATTGTTTTTATAAAATACAATTCTAAGAGGTGTAAAATGCCTTTGTATCCTATTTCACTGAATCAACACTGCCGAAGGAGGATGTTTTGCTGCAGCTATAGCTTTAGGCCTTGTGGGTTAATTTTCTGTTAGCTTCAATCATTCGGAGACAAAACTTTCTGCTGTTCCTTAGTGTGAAAACAGCTGAAGAACAAAAAGACTGAAAGATATCTGTGAACATCAACAATAAAATCATGGTATGGAACTGAACATGGCTTTGATTTAGACATTGATAGGGCCATTGTAAATCTTTTAAAATAATCTATATTTATTTCCATCTTTTGGCCATCAGTTCTGAGCAGTTTCCCCATCTGTACCAGATCATCTACATACCATGATTCTGCTATCACCGTGTTACACAGTGGTAGTGATTTGTTCAAGGTAATGTCCAGCGTTAGCATTCTGATCAATCTTTTTTAAAACTGAGTTTTCTTCCCACTATCTTACTTAACCAGAGCATCATATTTTACGTTTGCTTTATCCTAAATAAGTTCTTGTAACATTTTCTTTTACTCTTTTTACAATAATTGCTTTTAGCAGGTAGATCTGCAGTAATGAAAATACAGCTTTTGTTTCTTTATTATTCTGTGAAACTTAAGTATTTGAGATGTTTTATTACCTAATGTAGCCTTGCTTTAAGCTACCTCACAACTTTACCAGAGATTTTTCTTCTGTCTGAGGTTTTAGCGGGTTTTAATTAAGGGATGTCAGAGTAAAGAGGCCTAAATAAATATGCGCATACATTCCACACCCTAATTTACAAAGTTTTTTTTAAAACCACAATGTTTTACTGCTTCCCAAGTATAAATTTCGTGACGGTTTGTAGAACAGAGCAAATATAGAAACTGAGTTAAAGTTTGTGCTTGTGAATTTTAAAATGTGGAAACTTTTAATGTAGAAATATTTCTAAGGAAAATCACTAATTACACCTACAGGTGCACCTGCTTTTCAAAAAAAAAATTTTTTTAATAGCTAGACGTGCAAAATTCTTACCATCATGAAAGAAGTTGTTGACTATAAATCATCTTAGATGATTCTCAGCAAGAAGAAGTAATAAGAAAATTAAATCCTGCACAACAAATAATGAATAATATATTTCTAATTGCCACGCAAACACAAAAATAGACATAGGTCTCAGCTGAAATGGGGAGTGTGCTTTCTCCTGGTCTATAGAGAACTGTTGGAGGATGTGAGCATCTGTTGGCCCGTTCATGTGATGTCACTCAGTGACTGAGCTCCAGGCTTTCTCTCAGGTCAGATGGGAGGCTGTTGTTGTGGATCATGGGAAAAACAGCTCCCGGGAACAGGTGAACATGTCACAAGGGGTTTTTCCAGGATTCTATCATTTACTTTCCCCTCACATGTGCCCCATTTTCCCATCAGACTCATGCCAAAACACTGTGGGGCAAGGGATCATAAAAAAATATCTGTGTGCATTTGCCCAAGTCTGGGAATAAATTAGACACAGAACATTTTGAAGTCAAACTGGTGAGAGTGTATCCTATTCTTTTATCAAAATGAAGGAATGCAGTACTTTATTCAAAGATTGTAATTGGCCCAATTTATTATATCACCAAACTTACGAACACAAGATTAGCTTTGACTTTAACTGACATCCTAAATGGCACAATGATGCTTCAAACAATCACTGAATAGGGAGCAAAAGTGCAAAACTTAACTGGCAAGAGTAAGAGTTGGTGTGTAAATGCATGTTTATCCTTTTAGGCCGATTGGCAATTGTATGAAGGGGAAGGTCTTCGGAAGCTGTTGTCCTAAAGGACTTTCTGCCTCTTCATCTACCTCTCCAGAATGTTTGTCTTTTCCAGTACTGGCAAAAGTACCAAGATACTTTGAAAGAAAGGGGAACGATTGCTTTAGCGGGCGCCACTGGTCTATTGTGGATGCAGCCTGTTCTTTCTCTTGACCTGTGACCTCTATTGTTGTTAGGATTCTTGTTCGGAGAGAGCAGACAGCTGGGGTAACCGCAGGGGGGCTGATGGACAGCTGGGACAATTTTAGATAGAGGAAGAGAGAAGAGAAACCAGAGCATGAGGGGAAGGGATGGGAAAGAGAAAATGGAGCCCTTGTTGTGAACAAACAGAAAGGCCAGATGAGGTGACAGGGGTCCCCGCTCTTCAGCAGCAAGTTTGTCCTCTTTGCTCTTGTGGGTCAGCTATGGCACTGGAGTGACACATAACTATACAGGCAGACACTCGGCCTGTGAGAAAGTAGCGGCTGGGTTAGCGGGCACACTCCCACCTTGTTGCTTTGCTTTTTGTTGTAACCAAAGTGAGGGTATGGGGTTGGGGGGTGGTGAGGGGCAGTGAATTATTCTGTAGACTCCAAATACATGAGTGGGTAGATAGTGAAATAAAACAAAATCCATGCAAATTTACTTTGGATACAAGATTACAAAACACAGAGACAGGATTTATCATGGAGTGAGGCTTGGTGGAGGTTTTAGTAGTTGATCAAGGTCAGATTAGATGAACTATTAATAAATTTAGAAATATTTAAACAACTGTTTATTTAAGTTTAATATATTTTACGAAAACCCAGGGTCACATTAGAAGTTATCAAATTGATCGTGAATTAATCAAGGTAAGAAAATCCTAAAAATACATTTTAGTGATAGCAGAGAAAAACAGTTTTTATAAATTCATGCCTTTAAAAACAACAACAACAACAAAAAACATTTGTGGATTGTGTTGGTATATCCTAAACTATTCCTAAGTGCTGATTTCCTGATAACGTCTTTTTTTAGAAAAGCAAAAAGATCATTATTGGAAGTTCGTGATGACTCTCAGCTCTTGACACCTGTTGGTTTTCTCTCTGGGTTCATGAAACCCCGCAAACAAGACATAACTGCGTTTGAGGTAGCTTGTTTTCACCAACCACTGCCTATTTTCTTTTGGATGGCTCATTATCTGTAATAGACCATAACCAAATGCTGTTTTGCTGTAGCTGGTTATAATAGGAGGTTAACTATAGTTAATTAAACCAAACTTTGAAGATGCTATGTTATTTTAGATCCAGTGATTGTGGAGAAATGTGTTACTGTGCTCTCCTTTTTAAGTTCAAGAAAGCAGTGTGAAATTATTTTACCTTTGTGATATGCTGAATTATGCAACTGGACTATACTGTATCTACCAAAAGATGAGGACAAACTTTACTGTGCTTGATGGCTGATTTTAGAAAAAACATAGAAAAATAAAAACATGAAAGATAAAGGATTTATCTACAAACATAGCTTTAAACTGTGTTTCTAGGTGAATGTATGACCACACAGCAAAGCCTCAAAAAAGTGGATTTTTATGTCTTCTTTCTCCCCTCTCCCCATTCATTCCTATGGGACATTTTGGGGTTGTTTTGGGCTATTAACGTCACCATGGTAACTCCAAACCTCGTATAGTACAAATAGCACACTTCATGGGAGACGCATGTTTTCATATATACTGCATGGGGTTACACCCTGTGGTTCAGGCTGCATTAACGGTGGCGGAAAAAAGATAAATAATAAAGAAACCCTTAGTAGGTGAAGAGTAATACGTGCTTACCATGCATTGCATGGAGGCAGTCAATACATTCAATGCAATGCAATGATGTGGACTGACTGTATTCTGATGAACATATACAGCACTTGCTTTTTTAATCTATAAATTACATTTTGATAGCCAGGTAAAATGTCACAATACTGTATATAGTGACATTGCAATTTCATGATAATATTGTATTGTGACCCAATTGCGACTTATCTCAACACACATGCCAATAATCAACCCTACCCTTGATGAGGTGGCAGGTAGTCTCATGAGGCATCTCCTCGCAGACCTGGACTATAGTATCTGCCAATTCCTGGACAGTATGTGGTGCAACAGGATGTTGACGGATACATCGAGATATGATATCCCAGATGTGCTCAGCAGATCACTCACCAAGGTGTCTCCAGACTCTGTCACATTTGCTCATGTAAACCTGTTTTCATCTGTGAAGAGCACAGGGCACCAGAGGCGAATTTGCCAACTCTGGTGTTCTCTGGCATCGCCAAGCATTCTGCACGGTGTTGGTCTGTGAGCACAGCTGTGAGCACATTCCTCTTTGCAAAAAGGTGGAGGTAACACTCCTGCCTTTTGGCTTGTTGCCCACCCCACATCTCCTGGTGTACTGCCCTGTCTCCTGGTAGTGCCTCCAGCCTCTTGACACAACGCTTGGAGACATAGCAAACCTTCTTGCCACAGCTCTCATTGAAGTTCTGCAATCCTGGATGAGCTGCACTACCTGGACCACTTATGTAGGATGCAGAATCTGTCTCATGCTATCGCAAGTGTGAACGCAGCACTGACATTGAAAAGTGAACAACATATCAGCCAGAAGGCATACTGTAGGTACTGAGAAATGGCCTGTGGTCCCCACCTATTCTATTTGGACAACCCGATGGAAAATGATTTATCAATCAGGGCTGCTTCTTAAGTGGACAGTTGGATTTAATTTAATTTTGAGTTAAAACACTCTGCAGGAATGGGATGTAGGTTGACTTAATGCTGTATCTGTTTGTTGTGTCCAGTGATGTCAAAAGTTCACACATTTGTTGAGTTGTAGAAGTAGAAGAATAGATACTGCAGTTTAAAAACACTCTGGTAAAGGTAGAAGTATCAACTTGACCTCTTTACTCAAGTAAAAGTGAAGAAGTATGTGCTCCAAAAACTACTCAAAGTATAAATGTATTAAGTACAAAAACAGCCAGATGCCACTTTATGAACTGAAAGCTCAATTTCTCGACTATTAAGAAAAAAAATGAGATAGGGACAAAGACGAAGGAGTCTTGTTGGTCTCCGTCTCCATCTCCCGATTCACTCTTGCCTGTGTCCGACCTTTCAGACATTTCAACATAATTTTTGGAATCCCACATTGTAGCATGGCATAGACAATTCGCCTTTGCAATTTGAAGAACACCTGCTTGCTTCTGATGATTTCCTTTGGCATCAGCACAAATTTGACAACTAGCTAACCAATGAGTGTTTGCGTTTTATGACTAATCCAAATTACACTACTTTCACTAGATGTGGATGGCATCAATGATCGGCATTGGATGGCGCACATGACGTAAAATAAATATTTATGAACATTAAACTGAAGCCAATAGTAACGAATAACATTTGTTTTAAAAATGTAAGGAATAGAAAGTACAGATACTTGTCTGAAAATGTAATGAGTAGAAGTCAGAAATAGTAAGAAAAATAAGTCATGGAGTAAAATATAGATACCTTAAAAATGTACTTAAGTATAGTTACTTGACACCTTTGGTTGTGCCAAACCTGTGAAACAAATAAATAAATCTGTGTGTTTGAAGTGATGCACAGGACATTGAAGCCTCACACAGAGAGGCTTACTGAGGCTGAAACTAAG